CCCCACATGGGCCACCCGGCCGCCGCGCTCTCGGCCGCGGTTTCTGGCGGAGGGTGGCGGGGCCGCCTGCGGCACCGGGGGGCCGTGGGCGCAGCACCCAGCGCCTCTGCGTGGCTCCACCCGCACCCCTCCGGCTGTTTGTGTCTGCTCGGCGCTGCCGTCGGCACGGCATGGCACGGGGCAGGAGGTGACAGCCGTGCTGGGAGCCCCCTGCGTGGGTATCACAGCCCCAGGAGGTGAGGGTGCAGGCGCTGCGCCCTGCCTGGGGTGGCCGCGCACCCTGGGGTGGCGGTGGTGCGGAGGTGGGGAGGCTTTGTGGGGCGCTGGGGGTGTTCCCTGCTTGGGGGAGCAAAGGTGAGGTGGGGACACGCGGGGTGCTCGGGGCTGGCGCAGCTCCTCCTGCCCGCGCTGAGCTCGGGGTGGCACTCGCGTGGCGCTTGTCCTCCTGGTTGTGGCTTGGGGACAAGGGGGGGGACACCATTGGGGTGGCTGCGGGCTGTGGCTGTGTCGCTTGGTTCCGAATCTGTCCTGGCAACCTCGGGGACAGGGTGGGGGGCAGGTGGGGGTCCTGGCACCGCGTGGTGCTGAGGTGAGTGGGGAGCAGGGCAGGATGAGCCCCCACAGCTCGCTCCAAGCTGGGCACCCACGGGAGCAGGCGCTGCTGCGGGCAGCACCCTGCCGCCTGTCCCCCCCCCCCAGCCAGCTGGGTGTCACGGCTGTCACCAGGAAGTCCCGGGCTGTTTTGACATTTCCGAGGAAAGCCCCAGCCAGTGCAGCCAAGCGCGCTGGGGTTCCGTGGGCGGACGGGATCTGGGCCATGCCAGGTTTGGAGAGATAAAATCTCCCCCCGGGAGGGCGGCGTGCACAGCACCCTGGGGTGCTCCCAGCTGGCTGCTTCGCCAGGCCGTGCAGCGCTGCTGTCCCCAGTGCCACCTTCCCGGTCACCTGCCTTATCCTGGCAGGTGCAGTTGATCCAGCACCTCCCAGCAAGGTGGGCTCGTGCCCACCGGTGGCCACGGGGCACCCGTTCCCTGATCCCCAGGACGCACGGCACCAAGCGCATCGCTCCGTCCGCCTCCTGGTACTGCCAGGGCAGTCCCTGCGGGTCCCTGTCCCCAGGACAGGTGGCACGTGGCTGCGTCGGCAGCTTGGGCCGGCGGCAAGCTGCTGCTCGAGCCTCGCCAACGCCAAGAGATGGCTGGCACATATGTGCCAGGCGGGGAGGCTGCGGCGTGGGCTGGGGGACGCAGGCGCCGTGGGGCACTGCGGCAGCGGGGTGGGCAGCGCCGGGCGTGTGGGGGTCCCCGGCGCTTCCCCCACCACCGCCCGGTGCCAGGTGGGTGCCCCGGGGGGGGGGACAACCCCGGGTGCCATGGGGATGCTCAGGGGCCACCCACGCCGTGGGTGCTCAGGGTGCCGTTTGGGGATGGGGGCGTCACCGTGCCGGGGTCCCCATTGGTGCTGGCTGAGCTCAGAACGGGCAAACTCGGTGCATGGGCGGGGGGCGGGGGAGGCAGGGTTGTTGCCATGCTGGGCATGTGCGAGCGCAGCCGGGCGCCAGCCTGCGATTGAGCCCCGGAGGGGACGGCACCGGGCTGCGGTGCTGCAGGGACCGGGGGACGGGGACACCCAGGGTGTCCCCCCCCCCGTCCCCAGCCAGCTGCGTGGGAGCGGGGACGTCGCGTCGCAGAGGTAGGACCCGAACAATGGCCGTGCTGGGAGGGAAAAGGAGAAGGAGGAGGAGGAGGAGGAGGGGGATGAGGGCTCGGGGGCCCCTGGAAGCCGCCACACAAAGGGCTGGGGTGGGCGGAAGGCGAGGGGCTCTGGCTGCACGCCTGGTGGCTCTGGTCCTGCTGGTACCCGCTGGCACCGCGGTGGCACTGCCACCCTTCACCCTCTCGGGGCTGGCACCCGTGGTGGTGCCACCGCCTGCGCTCCCCTCCTGGGTTACAGGTGCCTGATGCAAAGCAGGGTCTGGGGCTGTGCCCAGAGCCCCCTGGTGCACACCAGGGCTGTGCCACGAGGTGCCCGCTGGCCGTGGCACGGGGTGACAATGAAGGATGCTGCTGGCTGGGACTGGGTGCTGGTGCTTGTGACCCCACCACTTGCCGAGCTGCGGGTGGCATTGTGGAGGGCTTGGGCGGATGCAAGTGCTCGGTGGCCCAAATTGGGGCAGAATCACCCTGGTGATGCCGCTAAGGGACTCCCACGTCCCCTCTGCCCGTGGTGCCGGGGGGGCGGCGCGCCCCGTTGCCGAGCTTTGCCTCGCCAGCTGCCAGGAATGCGCCGGGGCTGCGTGCCCGCCGGCGCGGCTGCTGCTGGGGTAACGGCGGTGGGGCGAGCAGCAGCCAGCCCGGGCGTCCCACCGGGCACGGGAGCAAGCTGGGGACGGGGTTTGGGGTTGTCCCTGCTCCCCGACAACCCTGGGCTCACCCCGCGTTCGCCCCCGCGCAGGGAGCAGCCTGGAGCCGCAGGAGAGCAGCATGGAGGCACCGGCGGTGCTCGAGGAGCTGCCCCCGGGCGCTGCGCCCGGCAAGGGGGCGCATGAGCTCTTTGGCTACGTGGGGATCGAAGCCGTGCTCGACCAGATGAGGATCAAGACCATGAAGACGGGCTTCGAGTTCAACATCATGGTCGTCGGTGAGCGCTCGCGGGGCTGGTGGCTGGAAACGTGGTGCCACAGTGCGGGGGGAGGATGGGAAAAAGCAGGCTTTTAACAAAAAAATTAAAAAAAACAAAACAAAACAATAAATTGGGGAAGGATGGATCCTGTAGCGTCACACGGTGGTGATGCTTCCTGCAGCACCAGGAGCTGGGAAACTCATCCCAAGCTTGGTCCTGCGGGACTGGGATGCTCCTAAGTGGGTACCATAGGGAGAGGGGTGATAAATACCATCAGAGGGGACAAAGCGGCGCTGCTGGTGTCCCCGCAGGGCAGAGCGGGCTGGGGAAGTCCACGATGGTGAACACCCTCTTCAAGTCCAAAGTGAGCCGCAAAGCCTCGCAGCCCGGCCAGGAGGAGCGCATCCCCAAGACGGTGCAGCTGCAGTCGGTCACCCACGGTAAGGCCACCGGTGCGGTCGCGTCCCTTAAACCCCGGGGAGAAGCAGGGGAAGCCTCCTTGGTGCGCGGAGCCCCCTGACCCCACCTGCCCCGTAGTCATCGAGGAGAAGGGTGTGAAGATGAAGCTGACGGTGACGGACACGCCGGGCTTCGGGGACCAGATCAACAACGAGAACTGGTAGGGTGCAGCCGCAGGGCGGGGGGAGGTGGCAGCATTTTGGGAGAGGGTGACCCCCCCCTGTGGGGCGCTCTGATGCCGTCCCTGCGTCACCAGCTGGGACCCCATCATCAAGTACATCAACGAGCAGTACGAGAGGTACCTGCGCGAGGAGATCCTCATCACCCGTAAGAGGAAGATCCCGGACACCAGGGTCCATGGCTGCGTGTACTTCGTCCCCCCCACGGGCCACTGGTGAGTACCACCCACCCTGGCACCCATGGGTGCTGCTGGGGGGGGGCAGCAGGGTGACGGGCCGTCCCTCTCAGGCTGAGGCCCCTCGACCTGGAGTTCATGCGGAGGCTCAGCAAGATCGTCAACGTGGTGCCGGTGATCGCCAAGGCCGACACGCTCACCCTGGAGGAGCGGGCAGAGTTCAAGCAACGGGTGAGGGCACCCCCGGGAGGCTCCTGGTCCCGACACCCCCCCCCCAAACTCAGCCCAGCACCGTCTCACACCCCGTGCCCCGCAGATCCAGCAGGACCTGAAGGCCCACGCCATCAGCGTGTACCCGCAGGAGGACTTCGATGAGGACCCTGATGACCGGTTGCTCAACAACGTGATTCGGGTGAGGATATGCTGGCGTTTTGGGGGCCGGGGGGAGCGCGGTGGCACCCTGGGGTGACCGTGCACCCCTGGGCCCGCAGGAGAAGATCCCGTTCGCCGTGGTGGGGGCGGACCAGGAGCACCAGGTGAACGGCAGGCGGGTGCTGGGCCGCAAGACCAAGTGGGGCATCATCGAAGGTAAGGGCAGCCAAAGGGGACCAGGATGCCAACAGGGGGGCCTCAAGGGCAGCAGCACCCCTGGGTGCACCCTTTCCTGCTCTCCCCGTGGCGTGGGGCTGTGCCCGAGGTCCAGTGGCCCCCACCCCACCCAGGACGTCCCCACAGCCCGCTCTGTCTTGCCTTGCAGTGGAGAACCCGACGCACTGCGAGTTCCCCATGCTGCGGGACCTGCTCATTCGGTGAGCCGGGGAATGGGGCTGAGGGTGCCCAGGACCCTGCTGGAGCACCCCAGGGGGAGGTTGGGGGGTTTGGGGCACCCCCAACCACGGGGGCGGTGCGTGTGACGGTGACTTGGTGCCCTTCCTCCTCGCTGCCCCCCCGGGCAGGTCCCACCTGCAGGATCTGAAGGACATCACCCACAACGTGCATTACGAGAGCTACCGCGTGCGGCGGCTGAACGAGAGCAACCGGGTGGCGCTGAGCCCCCCCAACGGGCTGCCGGGCAAGGACGAGGACGACAGCAACCTCTGAGCCCTGGGACCCCAAACCCCGTGGCGGTGCCCGTCCCCTGCCCCACCAGTGACTGTGCTGCCCCGTGCCACCCCTGGGTGGCCGGCTGGGGACGGACCCACACCCCCTGATGTCACCTTCCCCCATCCCCGGACACCTCCTCGGGTGCAGGGGGACACCGCGCACCCCCCCGGCCCACGCTGGCTCAAGGATGTGAGCAGAGGGGGCTCCCAGGGTGTCCCCGTCACCAAGTCACCCCCCAGCCTCGCCACCGGGCTCCACCAGGATCCCCCGAAGCCTGCTCGGCATTAAAGGTGAAGCCGGAGCCTTCAGCATCCCCCATCGTCATCCTCCCCCTGCCACCCCCTGCCGCGGTGCTGTCCCCAGGGGGCTGTCAGGGCGCGGGTCCCCTCCCCGCTGTCACCCCACCGGCCCAGCCCGGTGACGGCAGCGGGCGCACCCGGACTTTGAGCCGCTTATCGGGCCCCGGCCGTGCCCGCAGGGAGCGGCGGCAGCACCCAGAGGTGTGCGGGCTACACCCTGCTGCTCCCCGCTGCGTCACCCCCGAATGGGGACCCCGGGCCCCCTGCCTCCCCCCGGCATGGGGACATTTCCAAGGAGCCCTGAGATGTTAGGGCGCAGCACCCCAAAATCCTCCCTGCAGCACCAGCAGGGCGCGGGGGCCCCCTGGGTGCTGCTGGGGTGCGGAGAGCCCCCTTGGTGCCTCCCGCCCCCGAGGCGGGGCTCGGGCTGGGTGCCAGCACCCGGCCCCCCCGCTCCCTCGAACCGTGAACCGTCACCAGCAGCGCCAGCCCCACGTTAATGATCCACCCGCAGCCAGCCCCGAGCCGTACGGGGCCGTGCTGGGGACGGGGAGTGGGGTTTGTGGTTTGGGACCCCCCGGGGATGTTGTGCGTGGGCCGGAGGCCGGCGGCTCCCCCCCGTGCGCTCCACCCCTCGGTGCCGGCACGCAGAAAATAGCGGAAGCAGGCGGTGGCCACTTCCCGGCGCTCAGCTTGGGAGCTCGGAGGGGCCATGGCGTTGGTGAGGCTGAATCTGCGAGCCCTCACCTCCTGGGTGGGCATCGCCCGGCTCTTCGCCATCCTCCTGTCCTGCACCGCCTTCAGCCTGGTGGCCTCCACCGGGGTTTACGGGGGCCCCTACGGGACGTGGTGCATGTTCAGCTGGGGCTTCTGCTTCGCCGTCACGCTGCTGATCGTCCTGCTGGAGCTGTTTGAGCTCTACCCCAAGCTGCCCCTCTCCTGGGACGACTTCACCTCGGCTTTCTCCATGCTGGCGGCGCTGATGATCTTCACCAGCTCGGTGGTGTTCCCCTCCGTTTTCATCAGCAACCCCTGCAACAGCAGCATCTGCATGCGCCAGGCGGCCGCCACGGCCATATCCTGCCTCTGCTTCCTCGCCTACGCCCTCGAGGTGGGGCTCACCCGCGCCAAACCGGGGGACATCAGCAGCTTCCTCTCCACCGTGCCCGGTCTGCTCAAGGTGTTCGAAGCCTACGTGGCGTGTCTCATCTTCTCCTTGCTGGATACCTACGACAACGTGCCCGGCCTGCAGTGGTGCGTGGCCGTCTACGCCGTCTGCTTCGTCATCACCCTCCTCATCATCATCTTCACCATCGGCCGCTGCCTCAGCTACATCCCCTGCCCGCTGGAGAAGGTGCTGGTGGCTTACAACGCGCTGGCCATGCTCATGTACCTCACCGCCGTCATCATCTGGCCCTTCTACAGCTTCAACAACAGGAGCCGGCCCAGCAACTGCGGCCCGAACTGCTCCTGGAACAAGCACCTGGGGGTCACCTTCCTCACCATCTTCAACTTCCTCGCCTACCTCGTGGACCTGGTCTACTCCACCAAGATGGTCTTCATCAGGACCCGTTCCTGAGGGCGGCGGGGTGGGCACAGAGCCGGGCAGGGAGCTGAGGAAGAGGCCGGACGCCTCGGAGAGCTCCTTCCTCCTGGCCTCCCCCCGTGCCGGGGAGCAGCGGTGGTGCTGGGGGTGCCGGCAGGGGGGGAGGTGGGGGGGGGGGATCCCGACGGCCTGGGGGCGGGGAGGGCTTTGGGATTAAATTTGGGTCATTTTTCACTTGCTTCTGCTCCGCTTTCTTCCCCTTTTTTTTCTTTTCATGGCTGGGTGGGGCTGTTCTGGGTCACCTCCTGAGGCTGCATGGAACCGGGGGGGGGGGGACACCGGCTTTCGGCAGCTCCTCTTCTCTCCTGCTGGAGTTAAACGGGGCACGACCAGGAAAAAAAAACAGCCGGGATGCTTCTGACTTGGCATCGCAGGACCCTGCAGAACGGGTTCGGGAGGAATGTGGCTGCTGGGAGGGGGGGGACACAGTCCCCAAGCTTGGGGACAGGTCTGTCACCATCCCCTGGGTGAGAGCCCCACGGATGGAGCGGCTGCGCCCGTGCCCGCTGTTCCACACCGTGGTGGCACCAGGGATTCCCCTGCCTGAGGACACGGGGGTGCCACCACGAGGCTGGTGGCACAGGAGGGTGCCACCACGCTGGGAAGAAGGGCGCAGAGCGGTGCAGGCGTGTCCTGCAGGCACGGGAGACAGGCACCCACGGGGCACGGTGTCCCCACGCTGTCCCCAACCCATGCTGCTCCCTCGGGTTCTGCCTCCCCAGACATCACCGCTGCTTTTAGCCAGGCTGCCCTCCCCCTGCTTCTTCACCAGTGCCACCTCCCTGCCACCAGCGTGCCACCGCCTTGTCCCTGCCACCTCCCAGCCGGGTGCCACAACCCCACGCTGGCTGTCACCTCGCCACCGCGCCCTTCGCCCTGCCGATGGGGCCCACGCTCGGCCGTCGGAGCCTCTTGAGGCAGAAATTTTTTGAGCAAATAAAGGAAAAAAAAAAAAAAACGCACGGCCCGGCGCAGCCCTGCCCAGCGCCGGAGCGGAGCTATTTTTAGTGCCTGAGTTGATTGAAATTCATAGAGGAAAGAGGCGCGGGAGCGCGCGGCGGCCGTCACCGGCGATGAGTTGCAGCGCTTGGTGCCGGTAACGGGTAACGCAGCGGGGCTGCGCCCGGGGGGCACGGGGGGGCTGGGGCGTGGGGAGGCAGCCACGGGTGGGCTGGGGGTGTGGGGGGGGTGTGTGGGGGCTCCCAGCCGGCTGCACCCCAGGGATCTGGGGGTGTCTCGTGGCCCCGGGGTGCGCGGTGGTGGCACAGGGAGCGGCTGGGTGCTGGTGCCGTGCCATGTCTTGGGGTGCCCCGGTGCCGTGCCATGGGGAGCCCCGGTGCCGTGCCGTGCCGTGCCGTGCCATGGGGTACCCAAATAGCGCGCTATGGGGCGCGCCGGTGCTGTGCCATGGGGAGCCGCCGTGCCGCGCCGCGCCGCGCCGCGCCGTGCCGTGGGGAGCCCCGGTGCGGCTCGGTTGCCGGTGCAGGAGCGGTGCCGGTGCCGGTGCGCGGCGGATTCCTCCCCCTAGGGGTCGGTGTGCACCGGAGCGGGGGCTCGGGAGGCGGCAGCTCCTGCGCACGGCCCGGGGCGGCCGGGACACGGCGCCGGCGGGGAGCGGGGAGCGGGGAGCGGGCACCGGTGCGGGTCCGGGTGAGTGCGGCCGGGGCGGGGGGCGGCGGAGCCGGGGTCGGGGGGCTCCCCCTCACGATACCCGAGCCGGCAGCCGGGGCTCCGGGATGAGCGGGGCGGGCGGTGGGGAGGGCGGTGATGGAGCAGCGGGCACCCCTCTCCGGCACCCCCGGGCCGGCTGGAGCGCACGGTTCAGCCCCAGGCTGGCTGGGGGTCCCCAGGGGGGTCCCCTCCTTCAGCTGGCTGTGCCGCATGCCAGGGCCACCTCTGGCGCTGGCGGTGGGTGAGGAGCCCACCGAGAGGGGTTTAGCTTCTTGCAAGCCAGCACCAGCGCCCGGCCCCCTTCCCCATCAGCTGGAAGCCCCTGTGACCCCCCGAGATGTCCCTGTGGCCCTCAGTGACCCTGTGGCCCTAGGGACACCTCCGTGTCCCCGTCTGGACAAGGAACCCCCAGGCAGCCCCCGTCAGCCTCCCCCAAGGTCTGAGCTCCACTTGAGGTGTCTGCCTGGGGGCTCGCATCCCTGCCGTGTCCCTTCTGTGTCCCCTCTGTGTCCCTTGTGGCTGCAGGCCACAGCCAGGAGCCCCCCCAAGCTGCTGCAGCTGGAGCGGGGACCAGGGGCAAGCGGGGCAGCCTGGCAGTGCCCCTGGCTGGGTGTCACCAGGGGAGGGACCCCCACAGAGCCCCAACCTCATGGGGACACGGCTGTGGGTGCTCCCTGGGGGGCACCCAGGTGGGAGCAGGATTGGGGTCAGGGTCTGTCCTGTCCCCATGGGTCTTATCCCACCCATCCCATTGTCCCCACAGCCATCTGCGTGGCAGGATGGGGATGTGGCACCCCAAACTGATAGCACCATTTTTGGGGAGGGCGGGTAGGGAGAGAACAACATAAATGTGCTCCAGGACAGCTGTGTAGGGCTGTGGGTGTCTGCACGGCGAGGAGGGGGTTAAGGACATGCCCTGGGGGTGTCGGGGTGCCCCGGGGTGCCTCGGGGTGCCGGGGTGTCCCCGCAGCCGGTGCGCCCGGGGCTGCTTCCTCGCACTGGTGACCTCGCAGCAGTGCCATGGCAACGCCGCGTGAAGTCACCGGTGCTCGCGGCGCGGTGCCAGCGTGGGCGTCCGCTCCCGCAGCCCGCTGCCACCCCGTGTGTGTGTGTGTCGTGTCCCCCCCCCAGGATGAGCTGCGCCCCCGCCAGCGCCGACGCCTGACCCCGCCACCATGCTCGTCAAGGAATACCGCATCTGCATGCCGCTCACCACCGAGGAGGTGCGGGGGTGTCCCCCACCCGGGGGGTGCGGGGGGCACTGGGTGGTGGTCCTGGGGGGTCAGATGGGCTTGGGGGACACCGCGGTCCCCGCTGCTGTCACCTCGGGGTGAGGACCGTGCCTCGGTTAAGTCATTTTGGCCACAGCTGTTGGGTGCGGGATGCTCTTTGTGGTGTTTTGGGGTGCGAGCACGGGGCCCCCCGGCACATCCCATCGCTGTGCACGGTGCCCCCAGGGCAGCGCAGAGGTGGAAGAGAAAGGGCTGCATTTTGGGTGCTGGCAGAGCAGCCCAAATCCCTGCCGGCAAGCAGCAGCGATGGCTGGGGCCGTTCTGGGGAGCAGGGGCTCGCAGCAGCTGCGCCCACACCTGCGGGTTTGTGGCAGCACCTGGGGAAGGTTTGTGGTTAGGCGGAGCGGCGAGGAGACCTGCCCGGCAGCCGGGATGATGGATGGGATCTCGGGCACAACAACAATGCGGTCACTGCGCCGCCGCACCACCAAGCACGGGCACACACGGCCGTGGGTTTTGTTTTTTTGTTTGTTTTTTTTTCCTCGCCTGCCCAGGCAGGCAGGCAGGGAAATCGCTGCAGGTACCTGGGCAGTGGGAAGGGCAGGATCCGGCCCTCGCCCAGGTGTGAGAGCAGGGGGACCCTGGGGAAATTCCTGCCTGCTTCACGGCTCGGGCTCTGGCACCGCTTTGCTCCGTGCCTCAGTTTCCCCTCTCGCTCACTGCAGTACCGCGTGGGGCAGCTGTACACCATCAGCAAGCACAGCCACCAGGAGAGCGAAAAGGGCGAGGGCGTGGAGGTGGTGAAAAACGAGCCCCACGAGGACCCCGTCCACGGCCCCGGCCAGTTCACCGAGAAGCGCGTCCACCTCTCCAGGTGAGGCACCCGCCCGCGGTCCCACCTGCCCCAGCTCCGTGGGGACGCTGCTGTGCTGGGGGGCACGGGCAGGCAGTGGTGTGACCCTGTCCCTGCTCCCAAAATCCTCAGGGAACAGCCTTCCCAAAGTGGGGCTGCACCTGCCTCTGGGGATGCACCCACCTTTTGGGGGATGCACCTATCTCCCAGGGGTGCCCTCATCTCTGGGAGGTGCACCCATCTCATGGGGACTGCACCCATTTTTGGGGACTGCACCCATCTCCTGGTGTTCACCCATCTTCAGGGACTGCACCCATTTTTGGGGTGCACGCATCTCTTAGGGGCTGCACCCATCTTTGGGATTGCATCCATCTCCTGAGGATTGCACCCGTTTTCAGGGACTGCACCTATCTGTCTCCTGGGGTGCACCCATCTCTTTGGGGTCTGCACCCATCTCCTGGGGTGCTCCCCACCCATCTTTGGGGACTGCACCCATCTTAGGGACGTGTACATCTCCTGCTGCGCACCCATGTCCTGGGGTGCCCCCATCCTTGGGGTCCTCACCCTCTCCCAGCCCACCCCTCCCCATGGGTCCCACTGCACCGCCCTGGGCTCTGCGGGGACATCCCCAGGCTGCTCCCCTGCCCGTCCCGGGGTGTCCCCGTGTCCCCACACGCAGCCCCGGGTGCCTTTTGGGTGGCCGCAGGCACGCGGCGCTGCTGTCCCCGTGTCCCCGCCGCCAGCTGCGGCGCGCGGCCGAGCGTGCACCGGCGGCTCCCCCGCCGGGGAGTCGCTGGCGTTAGACGGGATATTTTTAGCTGCGGCACTCACGATTCTCCTCTTGGGGATGTTATTTATAACGCCTGAAAATTAATCAAAAAACACCGCCGCTGGGAGGGAGGCAGCCGCCGTGGCGAGCGGGGCCGGATCCTGCCCGGGGAATGGGGCCAGGGGTGCCATGTGGGGGATAGGACCGCGATGGGGACCTGGTCTTGGGGTGATGGGGAGGGTCTTGGGGTGAGGGGGGGTTCTGGGGTGGTGGAGGGGTTCTGGGGAAGGGGTGAGGTCCCTGGGGAGGCGATGGGGGTCCGGGAACTGTGCCGGCAGGGTAGGGCCGTGCTCCTGGGCTGTATCCTGCCTCCCTCCCCCAAAACAGCAAGCTGCCGAGCTGGGCCCGGGCGGTGACCCCCCGAATCTTCTACATCACGGAGAAGGCCTGGAACTACTACCCCTACACCATCACGGGTGAGACACGGGGACGGGGCCGCCCGGCACTGCGGGGCCAGCCGTGTCCCGGTCTCACCTCTCCCTCTCTTCCCCCACGGTGCCACCCCAGTGATGCCGGCAGTGCCTGCAGAGTACACGGTAAGGAGGGGGGCACGGGGGGTCCCGGTCCCTTTCCCGTATTGTGGCTGGGGAGGGGGCGCCGGGGTGGGCCGTCCCTCGGGGACCAGCTCCCAGGCGCTCTCCCCGCAGTGCTCCTTCCTGCCCAAGTTCTCCATCTACATCGAGACCAAATACGAGGACAACTGCGGGGACAGCGAGAACGTGAGTGGCACCAGGCCGTGGCCCTCCCCGCCTCCTGAGCTGGCTGGCACGGCTGAGACCCGGCAAACTCACCGAGGGGGGGGGGCACACGCAGCCGGTGCCGACCCCTCTCACCCTCCCTGCCCACCCCAGATCTTCCACAGCGATAAAATCCTGGGCGACCACGAGGTCTCCTTCCTGGACATCGCCTTCGACGAGATCCCCGAGCGCTACTACCGCAGCCTGGAGGTAACGGGGCTGGGAGGGGGGGGGGGGGGGCAGCTCCCTGGGGTGCCCCTCTCCGGGTCTCCCCTGTCCCCAGCTCATGGCCTCGCTCTGCGCCCCAGGACCCCCGGTTCTTCAGCTCGGCCAAAACGGGCCGGGGACCGCTGCGGGAGGGCTGGCGCCAGCACACCAAGCCCATCATGTGCTCCTACAAGCTGGTGACCGTCAAGTTCGAGGTGTGGGGGCTGCAGACGCGCGTGGAGCAGTTCGTGCACAAGGTGAGGGCGGCCGAGGGCGGCGCGGGGCCACCTGGGGGTGGGTGCTGACGGCCGGTGTCACACAGGTGATCCGGGACATCCTGCTGATCGGGCACCGGCAGGCCTTCACCTGGGTGGACGAGTGGTGCGGTGAGTCCCCGCGGTGTCCCCCAGCCCCTCTGCGTGCGGGACCCCCAATGCCACCAACCTCGCTGGCTGTTCATCCAGCTCCCCGTGCCCCCTGCCCACCCTGCCTGGTTCCCCTTGGGTTCCCACCACGGCACACGCCTGGTGCTCCCCGTGCACATGGAGCCCCCTGCGCCCCCTCCCTGCCCATCCCCTCCTGCTCCAGCCCTTGTCCCCTGCCCCACGGGGACGCCAGTGCCCGGGGCTGGCACCCGATGGGGTTGGGGACGCTGGGGGGTGTAGGATGAGGCCGTGCTGGAGGCGGCTGCGAGCCCTGCGTGTGCTCGGCAGGCATGACGATGGAGGAGGTGCGGCGCTACGAGCGGGAGACGCAGGAGGCCACCAACGAGATCATCGGCATGGTGGCCCCCACCATTTCGGTCAGCGAGGTGGGGCAGCCCACGGCCACGCACTCAGGCCCCCGCCAGCGCCCCTTCCACCCCCCTGAGCGACGAAGCCCCCGATTTCCTCGCCCCTCCCAAAGCTCGGCCCCGCAAGAAGTCGGCGCCGGAGACCCTGACGCTGCCGGCGCTGCGGGAACGTGCCAGCGCCGAGTGAGGCCGCGCTGTGCCACCGTGCCGTGCCACCTGCCCGGTCGGACTGTCCTCTCCTCCGTGCCAGCCCTGCCACCCGCCTCGTCCCCTCCGACGGATGCCAACCCCGAGGGGGGAACCCGCCAGCAGGGCGCAGGGGAGCCTCGTGGGGGTGCTGGCGACCCTGAGCCGCCGCGGGTGCCCGTGTGGGACGTTGTCACCATTGCCACGCCGGACCTGCTGTCCCACAGGGAGGGGACATCCCACTCCTCGTGCCAGGCAGCATGGGGCCACGGCAGCATCCCAGCCCCTTCGGTCCAGCCTGTGGCCGGGCTGGGCGCGTGGCCGTGCCAGGCTGGGTACCGCGGCACCCGGGGAGCGATGCTCGAGCACCTGCCCTGCAAGGTAGGCACCGGGCACAGGAGGGTGGGTGTGGGAGTGTCGGTGACAGCCCAGTGCCACCTCCTGGGGCTCCCTGTGGGATGCCGGGGGCCACGCAGCCCCACGCGCTCCGGGTCTCGCAGTCGGAGGCCGTGTCAGTGCGAGGGGTGCCGGGGCAGGCTCAGACCTGTATTTTCTTTGGGAAAACGAGGTCCTTTTCGGAAATAAAACTGGAGACGTGGCGGCTGGCTCCCAGCGGTGGTTTATTGGGCTCAGCAGAGGAGAGCTGAACCTGCGGCATCGCCACGTCCCTCCTTGGCACGTGGCACACAGCTGGGATGGGCAGCATGGGGGTCGGGGTTTGTGGGGTGGGCCAGAGGAGCTCACGGGTGCCTCCTGGGGGAACACGGCTCCCTTCCCTGCTAGTCCTCATCGCTGCCACCCTCCAGCTCCCCGATGGAGGCGGCCGGCCCCAGCAGGGTGATGTAGTAGGAGCTGCAGTAGACGGGCGCCTTGTTGGGGCTGGAGTAAACCTGCTCGGGCCGCAGGGAGGCAAAGGGGTTGGCGGCGTAGCCCGTGATGTGCGTCTCCAGCTCCACCAGGATCTGCAGCGAGGCCTTCAGCTCCTGCTCGCTGCCGGGAGAAGGATTGGAGGAATCTCGTGACTGCGTGGCTGGGGCCTTCCCTGTGGGGACATTCCCGCTCGGAGGGCGCACCGGGGGGCTCACCTGTAGACGGTGAAGAGGGTGGGCAGGCGGTAGTCCCGCAGCAGCAGCAGCGTGGGCAGCCAGCCTGCCATGAGGTCAGGGCAGGCGTGGAAACCTGCGGGGACGTATCAGTGAGTGGGGGGCACGCTGCCTGTGCTCCCCACCCCGAGAAAGCCCGGCTGGCACAGCGTGAGGCTGCCAGCAAGGACGGTCCCCGCTCCCTGCCAGGCTCCGGGTCCTGGGCTGAGCCCCAGGACCGAGATCTGGAGCCCAAACTGCAGGGACCCCTTTGGGTGCTGCTGGCACCCGAGCCCCAGGGTGTCCCCCCCTGCCTGTGGTGGCCCACGGTGGCGTGGTGCACTGGCCGTGGTGAGCCCTGGGCACGTCCCAAAGTCCCCAGCAGCCTTGGGTGCTGCACCCTGGGCACTCACCCGGGTGGAAGCCCACCACCAGGTCGGGGCGTGCGGCCAGCTTGGTCTCCACCTGCCCTTCCCAGAAGTCGTGGTACAGCCCCTTGAAGCTGCTGAGATAAATCCTTCCCTGCGGTGCCGGCGTGGCCAGGGGGGGCCTCATGATGGCCCCGTCCACCACGTCCACCCCCACCATCACCACCTCCATGCCCCGCTGCCCCGGGAACATCCGCGCCAGCTCGTCGTAGTCGGTCACCCGGGTGTTGAGGGTCTCCACGTGGGACGCCCCCACCACGTGGATGGTGAGGGGCTTGGCGAGGGGGTCGATGCCGAAAAGCCGCAGCCCCAGGCCGATGGTGAGCGGCCGCGAGTGGAAGTCGGTGACGAGGCGGCGGACGGACTCGCGCAGCTCTCCCTCCTCTGGCCGGGGTTTCCCCGCGTTGGCCCAGAGGAGGCTCATGTAGCGCCCAGCCAAAACAGCTCCCAGCTTCTCCTCCAGCTGCCCCTGCATGGCAAACCAGTCCTCCCAGCCCGCCACCTCCCCGGCGGGTCTTGTCCAGGCCTCCGTGGGGAAGGGAATGTCACCTGTGGGGCAGAAAAGTGGATTTTCAGGGGTGGCCCTGCAGGCTTGGCTGCCTGTCCCCCCCCCAGCAAGCTGCAGGGGGTGGCACTGCCAGCCCTGGGTGGGCAGAGCTGGGAGGAGGGACCCCACACACTCAGGCTGTGGGGTGGGAGCAGTGCCCCCCCGCCCCACCGGTGAAGACGAGCCACTCCACCAGCCGGTCCAGGGCCACCAGCTTCAGCTTCTTGCAGAATTTCTTGTGCAGAGGCCAGTTGGCACGCTGGCACGCCACGCCGCAGTAGTACACGTTCTGGCACCTGGGGGGACACAGGCAGCGTGCCCAGCCCTGGGGGTGGGCAGGATCCGTGCCTCCCCCAGCCTCACCCCCGCCACCGGGCTGAGCTGGCCCTGCTGGGAGCCCGGGGACACCCAGCCCCACGCCACCTTCCCCTGTACCTCTTGCATCGGCGGAGACTTTTGGGGTCAGGGAGGGCATCGGGGAGCTTCTTGCACTCGGCGCAGAACTTGAACGTGTCCTCCATCTTCTGGAACATGTCGAAGTAGGTCCGGATGCCGAAATCACTGCCCCTCTTCCTCCCGTCCATGGCGGATCTGAAGGGAGCCCAGAAGCGTTGCGGGGGTGAGTAGGGTCCTGGCCAGCCCAGCTGGGCTCCTGCCTTCCCTCTGCGTTTGTGGGATTTCACCTCTGGCCAAGACCACCCTTAGCTGAGCTGGTCGGGGACAAGGAGCCACAGGCGTCACCTTGTCCTGGGGGGATCTGGGGGTGCACCTGGGAGCCGGGGGGGGACACACAAAGCTCGGGGGAAGACACACAGCACCCGCACAGCCTGCCCCGGCTGCTCTCACTCACTTGTAGTCCTCGTAGCTCTTCATGTTGAGCTTCTGGAGGATGACGTGGGACAGCCCCGGCACGTTGCTGTCCATGGCTTGGAAGCCCAGGGAATCCATGTCGGGCGCCCTTGCTGCTGCTGCTGGCTCCTTCGCCAGCTTTTTGGGGGCTTTGCGGGCTGCTCCTTGCCCTCGCTGGGCCATGCTGGCAATGGGACAGAGGGGTCCCGACACAGGGGGTGCCCAGCTCCTGGCAGACCCGTCCGCGCGTCCCGATGCTTGTCCCCGTCCCACCAGGAGGAGGGTGGTGACCGGGGCAGCAGCCTGGCCGCACGTCCCGCTCCTGGCACAGCGGGGCTGAGCTCAAATGTCAGCCCCAAGAAGGCCAGGCCTCCCCGCCGGCCTGACACCGATAGCGAAGCTATTCCCGGCACCACCTCCCGGCCAGGGGCCGGCCCCCAAATGGGGCTCCCCAAAAAAAAGGGGGCCTGGGGAGGGTGACGGGGTGCCTGGCGCTGTCTGAGGGAGGTGTCGGGGGGATGTGAGGGGGATTGGTGGAGGGGCCATAACTCAAAGCAAAGAGGCTGTGAAGTAGGTTTGTGGTTTATTTTGGGCACGTGCGGGATGGCTCCCAAAGGCATGCGCACCCTAACGGGGCCACTTGCCCTGGTGATATGCAGTAAGGAGTTACAGATGGATGAGGTTTCCCAATACACCTCTACATGAGGATAACCCATCCCTGCTGTGTGCTACGATCAGCCCCACGCAGTCGTTCCCATAAAACTGCTCCCGTCTGTGCCTGCTGCTGGTGGTGGTGGGGCTGAAGGCCGGTGACTGCTCCTCATCACCAGCAGCTGCCCCCTGCCTCTGTGCAGACTCAGCTGCTCCTCGGCCCTCAACCAAACCACAGGGTCGGGCTCAGCTGGTTTTTTGAGGCAGGTTCCCCATTTTTTGTCAGGAAACATCCTCTGTGAGGGGCCCCGAGACTCCTCGTTTGGGTTCAGTAAGGAAAGACACAGCAATATTTATTTTAATGCCATTCACCGAGCCGCCGTTATTCCATTCCTGGCTTTAATAATTACAATAGTTTTATTTACAAATCATTAATGTGCTTAAACAAGCCCCCATCCTTCTGTCCCTGGCTCCAGGCTTTGGGGACAGCCCTGGCCCCATGGGGGGGCACAGCCCGCCCCTGACCCCCTCCCCCCCCCCACCCACAGGGGCCTGGCAGGGGCTGCCCACACCCAACATGGCGGCCGCGGCGGCTTCAAAGGCACGCGGTCCGCGGCACGTGACGCGGCGCTGAGCTCTCGCCAAGGGTCGGGAGCTCGCGAGAGCGGCCGGGTTGCCGTGGTTACGAGAGGCGCGGCGCTCCCCCCCCCCCCCCGGGGTCTCCAAGGCCGCGGGTTCGAGTCCCGCCTCCGCCTCTCCCGGCTCCCGCTGTGGGTTTTCCCCTCTGGGCACCCCCGAAACTTCCTCACGGCTCCTCGGTGAGGGTCTGGGGGCTATGGGGGGCTGCAGGGCCTGGTGGGGGGGGGTGCAGCACTGGGCACGGCCCTGCTGGGCGTGTGGGGTTTGGGGCTGGGCTGGGGGCGCAGCATGGGGGGAGCCTCCCCTCAGCGCCAGGGAATTTGTGCTCCAGGTTCCTCCAGGTTCCTCCAGGTTCCTTCAGGTTCCTCTGGGTTCCTCCAGGTTCCTCCGAGCCCTTCACGTGTGTTCGTTGTGGTGTTTTGACGTCCAAGCCCCAACTGTCCGGGGAAGCTGCTCCTGGGGGAGGCAGAGGCCTTGTGTCACAGCTGGGTGTGATCGGGGTGGATGCGAAGCCGGGCAGAAAAGGAGAGGTGTTTTCACGTTTTTCTCCTCAGTCTTTTTCCCCACAGAGCCATGGAGGCCCCCGAGGGGCTGTCTGCTCGGAAGGGATCCCTGCAGGAGCCTCAGGCTGTTCCCGGCGAGTCCCAGCCGCTGTCAGCGAACGCGGTGCAGGTCACAGTGGTGAAGGCACAGGACCTGGTAAAGCGCTTCTGGAAATGCCTCTGCTGGGTTAACAACCCCGACCCGAGGGGTTCTTTGTGCTGCCGTCCAATTCTGGACCAGACATGAGACAATAAGGCTGTAGGGAATGATGCCACACCATGGCTTTGTCCCCTGCACCGAGGGCTCACTCACACAGACCAAAAGCTTGTGGCTCACCTTGCTTTGGGGACACATCTCCTCAGCAGCCATCCAGGCGTGCTGTGGTGTGCTGTTGGCTTGACATGTCTCTG